TCTCTATTGAAAACAATACAAGTATACAGCACCCAGTAGCTGAACGAAAATGTTAGAAATTGCACTTTTAATGAACATTGAAATTAAGATAGTTGTCCTCATATCTCGATTGTCCACTCAGAATTCATCTTGTCACTAACAACCAACCAACACTAGAAAAGCGAATCAAATATATTTTATTGTTCACACTTAAAGAGTCATGGATTATCATCAATATAAAATGTAAAACATCACTGTATAAATAAGTCTAAACAGGTATAGAATCAAAACATTTGTGTACAAAACATCTTTACAGTTAATCAAGTGTCATTTATAAATGTTGGGAGATATCGCAACGGTTTACTAACCAAATGAAAGATTACGGTTAGGATAAAAATATAATTACCAATGGTTAATTGTACTTTTCATATAGCTAACAGGTGGGATCCAGGACGCACTTTTCGTCCTATTTCAAACTCATCACCTGGGCGAACTTGATATCCAGACTAAAACTTGAGTCCGCTGCCAATCGTTTCAAAAACCCAAAGCATTATCTGCTAAGCTACTATTGTAGTGAACGAAAACTTAGTGAGGTTAATCAATTTATTGTTAAATGCAAAATTATGGAAACCACACATTAAATAGATAGTTTGCAAAACTTCAATTATCCTTTATATACTTCATGATTCTTTCAATTATGTATTTATTACAATTGCTCTCTGCTTCCCTTCCTCTTCTCTTCAATACAATCCTCTGCTGATAGTCATTCCACTTCTAATTGGCGTAACTTCCTACTAATATCTGTCAACATAAGTAGCATACACAACACTAAGTCCATCTATTAGCTTGTTCAATGAGTGTAAAGATGGTAATAATGTTTTGCAATCCAATATTGTTTATATTGGGGGCTACAATTAATCACTCTTTTATTGAGAACAAGAACCGACTTAAGTTATACAGCCATTAAAAACCTAGTAGCATCAGACGTCTGTTTTGTTTTAGTTTAGGACTCCTCTAATGAGAATTTATTCAATACCTCTGCACAATCTCTGTTGGCGAATGTGCATTTTGAACAAGATTAACATTAACAGATCTTCAATCACATATGACAATAGATGTGCTGGAAAAACTGTCAAAATAAAATCCAAACAAATTGAACTACTATCCATTTATTTAATAAATGACTAAAAACGTACTTCTATAGTTACAAGGTCAATGTCAGCATATATAATCGTACAAAAAATGACATAAAAAAATACATTTTTAACAAGGTCATCAATAAACATTATTGGAATTTCACTATTGATTAACAAATGGAGTAGTGGTTCAGTGGATTCTTACTTTCAACTTCCAGATCATAATGTCGAACATCGTAATAATGGTTGAGACAATCCTGTAGTATCACCGTATATTTCACATGGATAATATTCTTCACTGTCAAGTATATAAAATTCGCTTGAGAAATAAGTTACATTAAAATAGTGAGACCAATGATTTTGTTAATAGTGTCGTTTGGAATTGCAATATTGATAGATGCATTGAGTCACTGCTAAGATCAATTCAGTTCTCTATTGATAGTAGTCTGATTAACGATTTAGGGAAGGTATACTGAAGGAGTCAACAAATATTTATTTAAAACATTTTGTTCTGTATGGAACTAAAACGTTTTTGAAATAAGTAGTATGCAGACAACTTTGCAAATAAATAAACTTATTATACAGTAATTTACCTCTAACTGTTTGGTTATTTTTATTGATTTTATGAACCGATCTAAGGTAAACCACCATTGAAACCTGGGAGCACTGGAGAGCTGTTTCGTTGAAATATGAAACTTCTCAAAAGTGCACATCCACGACCTTGCCGCTGAGAAATGAGCGCAAGACCTTCGGTTTCGCGCCAAGGAGTTCCATAGTAGAAGGAAAAGTCTGTCAAATCCTTGTAGCTTTTAAGTGGTTGTCTGACTTAGACAGGTCGGTGATTGAAGTAAAAACCAATCTGTACAACCCTCATGTCGCTCAATGGTTGTTAATTAATGACTAATTTCAATTCATCTAGTTTACAAGTGATTCAACATTCGGAAATATTATATTCAATGTCCGTAGGTTCGAAATAAACCATAAGAAACTTCGGATTTTGTGATGATTACATTTTGGTGGGGCTTGCCTTCAACCCCTGAGGAGATCCATCCTGACTCACTAGAAACTAGAACCATTAAACAGCATAGTTTGATGGGTTTTTTTTTCAATAAATATCCGTCAGTTGACTTATCTCTTGTGTAACAAAAACGACCAACTACCATACTTTTTGAATTATAATTAACTTTCGAGACATTGGGGTAAACATGAATAGTTCATTAATTATAGGTATTTAAGATCTGTGTATTAAGTTTATATTAATGGTTAAGAATACTTGACGGTGAAAGTAGTAACAACAGTGATTATGAGAAAGATTAGTTAGTGTCATTATGATTCTGTTGAGGATGGTGAATTTCCAGAAATCACTTGGTAAACGTCTTATTTTGGAAATTTGAATTTCTCGTCTTCGCATCAAAAGCGATCATTTTTACCTTCATATTATATTTCCCACTTGGAATGACCCTAAATGTCATTGGTTCAGTACCTCTTTAAGTACGCTATTTTTTGTCGTTTCCAAAAGATCTTTTTATGCTGTATATATATGCTTGCGTTGTATGCTTGTTTCTCTCGTGCTTCTGACTGCTTGTGGAATATACCTTTTACTCTGCTGAACCTGATCTTTTCCCTCTAGTTAGCAGGGCTGAAGCTCAGTGGAATAGTTTGGCTTGTCTTGTCTTTGTGTTGCTGATCCTTCGTTCCGTTTCTTATTTAAGTGATCTCGTAATCTTTTTAAACAGATTTGGTAGTAAGTCATGAATTTATGGAATAAAAGAAATAAGATAATTTTAAAATAAATCCAATGGAAAACAGGGAGCAAATTCGTGTTCACTATATTAATAAACATTGAGTGTTAAAGTAGATGGTTGCTGTGTATATTGAATTTATGTACCAATCACCTCAGTTGGTGAATATTCAATACTTCATCAACTGATTTACAATCTTCATCTAGTACCCTATGTTTAAACTTCACATCACTTACTTGGTCAGTCTACAACACACTGACTTTGCTCCGAAAACACTTGTGGCGAAATATTTTTGGATGTTCCCATTCTCAAAAGGCTATGGTTTACGTCTATAATGTGGAATAGAACAAAACAGTGCACAACATATCCTATCTCAAAAATATTCACATCAAAATTGATCTATTAATGCTTAGATCATTATGCATTTAGTATTATAAATAAGTTAATTCATCTAATGATAGTGTCAAATGAATTGGTTACATTGATTGATTATGAAAGTAAAAATTTCTATGATAAAAGACAACAATTACAATTTTAATGAATATTAGTCAATTATAGATTTGATTATATGTTTGACATTATCCACACCGACAATATCACAAATAGTTGAAATCATGAGTCAATTGAAGCTAGACCACCATAGAATACCTGGAAGTACTGGACGGCCGTTTTATCCTAGTATGGGATTCCTCATTAGTGCACATCCATAATCCGGTACATGTGTTTCATCCTATTTGAGACTCGTCAGCTGAATATACATGAATCCCTGAGTTGATATTCACTCCGTGACTCGAACCCATTACCGTTCGCTACTGAATTCTTATAGTCCCTTGCTTTTGAAATGGGGTGAAGTTTCAATTCACTTGGTATTGTTTACTTGAATCTTCTCATTAATTCTTAAGACTGAAATTGATAACGCAATAACACTTGAAACGAATGGTACTGAGTTCAAGTTCCAGAGTGAACATCAGCTCTGAGATACAGGTACATCCAACTGACGAGTCCTTAATAGAACTAAACACATGTCCTAAATTTCACCATTAACCATTATCCATCTCTTACTCGATACTCATTTTTTTTTAAGAAAAAATAACACTTATTTTATAGTAATTACATTTTTGTTGGGGACGATAGATCCCCAAAACTCATATTTGTAATTTTATCATATCGATTAACTTATCGATTAAATGTTTAAATATTTGAATGGCAGTCAATTGATGAACTTATCGATTAAATGATTAAATAGCAGGCAATTGACGAACTTATCGATTAAATATTTGAATGGATGTCGATTGATGTACTTATTGATTAATGTTTAAAAACATTTTACTATGACAATATCGAATGCAAAATATTTGTATAAATACGTTTGACTTGTGTGCTTGATTGACCTGACCTGACTTGGTATCTGCTATTTGCCTGTAGAATACACTTTCTACGCCTTACCAAAACTTCTTGATTGAGTTAGCTGAGTTGGGGACAACGGACTAGAATAGCCTATCGAGATTCTGAATCCCTTGATCCGATCAATAAGTCGCTATCCTATAATCGGCGGTCCTTTGAGATATAACAATTTTGATGGAAAAATTTCACATCTAAAGAATGTAAACGCAAGATTGATAAGTCCTGGAATCGAATCTCACAAGGCCGGATCACGGTTGCACACTGCTGATGAGTTCCACAATAGGATGAAACGATCATCTAATGCTTCCAGGTTTCCTATTATGGTCTAGTTTCAATTAACTCATGGTCTCAATTATTAAAAGAAATTACTATAATATCCACAAAAACCCCTTCTGAATGTAAATAAGATTAATCACCAATTGACTTCATAGAAAATCTTTGTCAGTTATTTCTTTTTTTTTCTCTGTCACTCTCTCTCTCTCTCTACATACTATTACTATTTGTCAATCAATGAAATAGATCCTTAATTTTGATTGGTCAATTGAAAGTATTAACCTAAATTCATTTGCAGTAATAATATAGTGTGACCTTTACACACTTCATTAATAATCAACAACAACAACAAAATGTAGTGAAAGGATATTCACATAAAATCATTTATATTTCGGAAATTACTCAATTCATCTCTTTATTATTATTATTATTATTGTAGTAATAGTAGTAAATTATCTTAACAGTAATGATCAAGAAAGATAAACCAGTAAATAATTCTAATGAAAATTTATTCAATGATGATGATGATGATCAGAGGATACATAGAAATTATTCCTATAAAACTATCAATTGTCTAGTGGATCGACATCATGGATGGTATACCGGTAAGTTGTCTAGTAAAATAGATGTTTATTTGTTTGTTTTTTTAAAAAGAACGATGAATTATTATTCAGTAGAAAGTTTCAATGAATTTAATTTAGTTGTCATTTCATTGTACATACCATCCGTTGCTACTACTGATTGAATGATTTAGTGAGGTCATTGGATTGATGTCGTTTTGAATGGCTATGTTATTCGACTGATGCTGAGAAGATGATTTAATTTGACTATTTATAGGAAGTAAAAGTTGTAACAACGTTATGGAAGGATCATTATCATGACCCAAAAATATAGAGTTAAGCATTCATCTGGCTTTGTGCGGCAGTTTATGTACGCTGGTTTAGTGGTATTTACCTTAGGCTTCAAAGGTTGAACGTCATTTCATTGTAAGAATTAATGAATTGTTTGATTCTTGTATCGATTGGGTTGCATAAAATTTAATGAAATAATAGTTTAGTGATTAAAAAGTATTTGAATTCTAATCATTGATATCAAGGTTTGAACACAAACCCATCTATTGTGGTTTATAAAACTAAGTAATGAACATTTAGCTGACATATTAACAGATGGAGTTCAGAGTTGATAATTTTATCCTTTGAATTAAGAAAAATCGTATGAGAAGCTGTGATCAGTGGAGCTAATCTGTGTTAGGTGGGAAGCAGTTACCCACCAAAGACAGTCATGCAATGTCGTGGATTGGTTGAAGTTAGACAGTAATACCGCTGGATGAAGACTCAGCGGTCTAAAGATTAATCGTTCACGCACGATATCAAAGGTTCTGGATGATGTCTTTCGTAGTTCTCCAGGTTTCTGTCCCATACAGTAGAACTGTCTTGACATTAGTATTGAAAATCCTGACCTTGATGTTGGTTGACAGTTGCTTTGAGTTCCAGACGTTCCTCAGTTGTAAATATGCTGCTCTTGCTTTACCGATACGCGATTTCACATCTGCATCAGACCTACCATGATCATCAATGATGCTGCCCAAATATGTAAAGGTTTTTACATCTTCCAAATCTTCTCCGTCAATTGTGACTGGATCGGTGCATGCTGTGTTGTATCGGAGAATCTTACTTTTCCCTTTGTTTATATTGAGACCTACTGCTGCTGAGGCTGCTGCTACACTGGTCATCTTCTCCTGCATTTGTTGTTGCGATCGGAATAAAAGGGCCAGATCATCTAGGAAGTCTAGATCGTCCAGCTGCATCCTAGATGTCCACTATATCCCGTGTTTCCCTTCAGATGTTGATGTCTTCATGATCCGGTCGATCACCGGGAGGAAGAGAAAGGGTAGTTGTTACTCATCATTAAGAGTTATTTGTAATCTTGAGGGTATTATTGTTTCCTCTATGGTTCTGACTCACTTCACTACTCAGCTTCATTGTATGAAACATCACCACTGAGTGATTTAGGCAGCAACTGATATCCTATTGCTATTAAATGATTGTTATTTTCACTTGGTTGAAAATATTACAAGTAAACAAAAAGAACTTGTGATTAAACCTACTATGGTAAGAAATACAATCAGAAAAACACTTGTGACATCATACACTAGCAAAACAACCATAAAACTTAATTCACTTAAGTATAAGTACTGAAATTTAGAATTTTCCCCGTTTCTGCCACTTATAAAACTATATGTTATGGTGTAGTTGACTTTATGGAATGATGTCATCTCTTAATTATCTACCAGCCTTTATCTCAATTTCTAATTTGGCTATTGCCACTCACCTCTGTAAATAGGGAATAATTTAGCATACAGTGTGAGTATAGAATACTAACTGAATTGTTACCTAATGATTAAAATAGTTGCAGAAACATAGTAATTTATTATAATAGAAAGTTCACATGATTTAAACAGGTAGTTATCTCATATTCAGTTCACAAAATACATCAATAATATTATTTAAAAACATTTATACTAATTCAATAGTATCTATTTTGTAACCTGATATTAGAACAGAGCTTTTTCTTTCAATGATATCTTTATGTGGATTCACTAGTGTATATACAAATCAGAGCTGGTCGCCAATATGGATGGATTAAAAAGGTCATCAGGGTCTCTTACTCTCATTTGATTTACTGTTATAGTTCAACAGATGGTTGAATTATGTCATTTTGATGAGTTTATCAATTGGTAATAATAATGAAAGTCCTTCAGTCTGATCTTTGTTTAGATAAAATGTGAAAGTAAATTGAAGTCAATTTTCGAAGGGTATATTACCAAACTTTGGTTAGCTTATTACCATATTTCAATAGTCGAGATCATAAGTCAATTGAGGTTAGACCATCATGGAAAACCTAGAAGCACTGGACGGCCGTTTCGTCCTACCGCGGGACTCCACAGCAGTGCGCATCCGCGGTACCGCCCCCCGCGAGATCTGAACCCAGGAACTATCAGTCTCGCGCCAAGCGCTTAACCAACTAGACCACTGGGCAGGCATTCAATGGTGTTAATGTACTTTACTCTATCATTATCCTAGTTCACTCTACAGATTATGGTTTCACATTAGAAAAGTTTTCAGACAATTTTAATTTAATTAATTTAATTAACAGGAAATGAAGATTACCAGTACTACGTGATACATAGTGGCATAATAAATTTCAAACACAATCTGATCACACGTTTACTTGTATTAACGTTTATGTTTTTCAAAAACAATCTGTACTTAAATTTATTTTATATTGTTCATTTGAATCTTTCCATTGATGTTTAGGACTGTAAATGATCACTCTCTTATTAGCATATCTACACACTGTGCGGATTGCCTCGATATTACCTTAATTCATAAGCATTATAAGCAAAGATGGATGATGGCTAACAGTGGAATCCAGTACATGTGTTTCATCCTATTTGAGACATGTCATCTGAATATACATGAATCCCTGAGTTGAAATTCACTCCGTAACTCGAACCCAATACCGTTCGCTACCGAATCCTGATAGTCTCTTGCTTATGTAATGGGGTGAAGATTAAATTCATTTTGTATTGTTTATTTGACGAGCCCTAAATAAGACGAATCACATATCCTGGATTCCACTATTAGTCACAATTTATCATCACTTATAATTTATACTTACACTAGACCTAATATGGTAATCTTAATTTATTATCTGGAATTGTATAATTTTACATCGTTCATTATGTTATCTTTGTTTCATTCTTATCTGTCAATTTATCTATGTGACAAATTACTTGGCGAGACTCTAATTTATAAACGACCTTTGAACAAATCTAAAGCGACCTTGAGAAATATTAGCCAATCAGCAAACAGTCAGTATAGAGTAAAAAGATGTTATACAAAACCAAGGAAATAAAGTGGATAAACTTCTTATACATGGTTCTAAAACTTGTCAAGTTTAGAAAGAGGTTCAGAGGTTCTAAAATCGTAATGCATGCAGTAGAGGAAATCATCCATACGGCTACAGAATAGTCGGCTTCTGGAGTCATGATAAAGTTTCAAAAACTCTTTCAGCCTCGACCACATAGCTTCAATATTGTTTATGTGCACTCCGGTTGTTGAGTACATGAAATGCTACTTGTGGATAACGACACGATGCACATAACCAAGCCTACACTATCCAAACATCCGAATATATTGTAGTACCTGGCTGCAACCAGTGTTAATGGTACTTTTATTATTCAGTTCGCAATAATTGTCATAATTTACCTTAGTTAGGAATTATATATGGGGTTTTCATCACGAACTGACATCAGCTATAATGCTAGAAATTTATTTGGCCAAATGGATGAAAGGCTTTCGCGACAAAATCCAAGATCTATTTTCTTATACCCGATTGATTCGTCCACAAACTATAGTCTCGCCGTTTTATTTGTTATAGCCACTCATTTATCACATTTTGTACAAAATTCCTTGTGAACCCATCGTACGTTAGAATTAGGCACTGAAGTTGGCGCCGTAACCTTGAGATCTCTAAAACGCCTCTGATTGGCTCGTCCATAATTAGTATCTCGCCAAACCATCCAAAATTTATCATAAAAACTAAATTCTTTTAAATTTTAATTTCAATTTAATATTCATTTAATCATTTTTTTAAAAACGAATAAAAAATTTTGATATTTGAATTCATGATTCAATTAAATCTAGACCACTATGGAAAACCTGGACAGTCGTTTCGTCCTAGTATGGAACTCCTCAATAGTGCGTATCCACGATCCTGCCTCACGGGATTTGAACCCAGGATCTGTCGGTCTCGTACTTGAACGCTTAACCTCTAGACCAGTGAGCTGAAATTCAATGTTGTTAATGTCTAACTTCAATCGATTCACGAAATCGCACCGCCATCTACCATTATCATCAGTGAGTTACTATCTCACAATAGACCTGGTTGAACTCCATTGGTCAAGATCTAATGCTTCCAGGTTTTTCATGGTGATCTAACTTTAATTAACTCATGAATTTAGTTATTAAATTACTAAAATCTCCACAAGACTCCCTTCTGATGAAATTTAATATCTTTGAACAATAATTTGAAATTGTTACACATTATTGTTTAACAATACAGTGGTTTTGAGTGCTGTTAGAATCGATCACGATGGCGTAGGTGTATACACTCTTTGTCTTTCCTTAAACTATGAGAATAAAATCGCTTCACATCTTTCTTTCTACGAACTAATTCTATCTTTTATATAATACCAACATTGAATTAACTACTTCTATGAATCCGGTGTTCATTTTACTGTGCTAATGAGGTATGACAACTTGGACCGATGCATATATGTGACTGGTCCTATATTGTAGAGGATTGACTGATTAATTGATTAACAAAAAGATTTTTCTTTCAAAAAAAATAATAATCGCCTAGTTTCTGATTTCTTTCCAAGACTAAATGACTTTCTTACCACATAGTCATGTGTACTATGGTCAAGGTCAGTAAATAAGAAAAAAAATCAATATTGATTCTTTTTTTTCTCGTTTTGTTTCCAACGTTCAAAGTTAAATGAAATTTTATCATCTGACCTGTATATTAAATCTTTCTATAC